GTGTGTGCACTTTGGATGGGTTAAATGCAGAGCACTAATTCCAAGTACGGGTCACCATACTTGGCCACGCCACGTCACGTCACTTTTTCACTTTCACAGTCTCTATAGTATGAAATCTAGGTGAAAGAGTCTCTATGTGTTGAGAATTAGTCAGTCTGTTTAGCCAGTTTAGCCAGTCTGTTTGCTTCCTGACCTGGGCCCCAGTTAGTCAAGCATAAACTCTAAGACTATGTGCCATATTTCTAAAGAGAAGAGAGGCACCACCCCTGGAGGGTTGAAGACCATCTCTTTTCAACAGTTCGGGTCTGCCCCAAAAACTCATCCAATTGTTTATGAAACCTATGTTATTCTGCGGGCACCACTTAGACATCCAGTCATTGAGTGATGACAGTCTGCATCACTTATTTTTAGTGATCTCCGACTAGTAAAGTCAGACATCATTAGTGCCGACGTGAATAACAATCTTACTGAATTTACGTTTAGCATTAGCCAGCACTTTCAAATTTGCCAAGATGTCAGGCGCTCTGGCTCCCGGTAAACATTGGACTATGGTGGCTGGTGTCTCTATTTTCATGTTCCGTACAATAGAATTGCCAATAATTGCGATGGTTCTGGCTTTTCCAACAGGTTTCTCAGTGGGTGCATCACTAAGTGGGGAGAACGGAAGAGCGGTGTTTTGTCCCACGACTATGCTGCCTCACTGTCACCCAGTTGCCCTGTTGCGGGGGCTCTGCAACCAGAACCGGACAATGTATGGGACTCGCTAAGCTAGTTGCATCCAAAGCCGTATCTAAGGCCCTCACATTCTTATTATCCTCAATTAAAGTTTAGATGCATGTCTCTAGTTCTGAAATCTTCTCTGTCAGCCTAAATGGAGCATAGCGTTAGTTCTGGCAGGTCACATTAGTCAAGCTCACATCAGCTGACACTCAGCTGATCCACGTCTACCTATAGGAATACGACGCCAATCATAAATCCCTTTATAAGGTCCTTTCAGTCATTATTCAGCAGCTATCGCTTTGCTCAGGAGCTAATCAGCCACCTCCATCCCCAACTCCTCCTCTCGTCCAGTCAGGACTTGGCATTGGATATTTCTTCTTGAGCCAGACCACTGAATTATGTTGATATGTAAAATAATCACTTAGAACATCGATGATATCTGCTACATTAATCATTAATGTTGGTTCTGTTCAGTTTACCCTAGGGGGGGGTTATTTATGCTCTCCCTGCTTGTATCGATGCTAGGCTGCATGGATGGGCAGGGAGTGTTGCCCAGAACAGAACCATAACCCCAACCTAAAATGTATGCTAATTGTAAGTTATCTTTGACGATAGTGATCATGACAGAACTATTTCCCTTCATTTATCATATGTGAATCCTCGCCGCTGACAGAGAAAGCTACACTATACATGTTGCAAGCGGTGCCAATGACAATGACAGGAGAAGAAGCCATTATTCACTGTGATTGTTGAATGCTTCTGACTTACCACAGTTGTTTGATGTACTTGTGAAAAACGGAGTGAGAGAGAAAAGAAACAGAATGAGAGAGAGAGAGAGAGAGAGCTAGAGAGAAAATAAACGGTAGGCGCGTATGACAAGCTAACAGGCTAACGGAATGCTAACGTGCAGCACTCGCAATTTAAAAAGCGAACAATATCAAATCAGTATGTTAGATAATATCAGAAGTATGGTGATAATTAAGTTATATTTCAGCAGTTTAAAGAACAGAAAGTGATAGTAAGATTCCAATAGCTACAATCGCAAACCTCTCAGTAGCACAGCAGACAGGAACCGGAAGATCTCCTCTCTTGCTCCTCTCTCAAGTCTTTTCATGTTTGACTAATAAAACTGCATATGGGTTCTTCAACTCACCTTCAGTGTGTATGTATATATATATATATATACCCACACCCCCTCCCTCATTTTGAAATAAGAAATGGTCTGCTGTACTGTGTCGCCCACAGGGATGGATCTGGTGGGACCGCTGCCATCTCATTCACCCCGCGACAATATATATATATATATATATATATATATAACAACTAATGACAAGACAGATCTGATGAACATGAACCATTGAACACATGAAATAAAGAACCAGATGACAAGATCACATAACAAGAAAGGGAAACACAAGGCATGACATAAACATGAACCAAACCCCAAAACAGGCATGGCATTGACAATATGTAAACGTACAAATTGGCCTGTAGGTACATAGAGTTTTGGTGGTAGTTAAGTCTAAGTGAGAAAATAGTTAATGTAATTTGAAAGTAGTGGTCATTGAATGCAATTTGTGCCAAAGCAATCATGAACCATCCAATTCTTCTCCCCCGAGTTACGTCTTCCGCCATTTTAGAGTATCACAACACATATGCTCGTTTTCCCCTAAGCATAAACAACGCTAATTACACAGATTACGTTCATGCACGCGCTTTCTCCCCCGAACGTAAACAACGCTGATTATGTTGATTACACTCTTGCGTACTCTCCAAAATGGCGGAAGATGTAACTCGGGGGAGAAGAAGTGTATATTTTAAAAAGTATTATATATATTAGTTCATATATCGCAAATTGCGTTTGGTCTCGTACTGTATCGCGTACCTTGTCAGTGTGCGCTTTGCTTGGCCATTTGTTGTGGCAGGAAAGTGTGTTCAAGCGCCAGCAAAACAGTGTAAAGAAATACTCTTTGTGAGAAGCAGTCAATCAGCAGAAGTTAAAAGCAGCTTGTAAGTGTATTTATTTCTTGTCTCAGTGTTTAGCGCAGTTGTTGTTGCTAGGAAATGCTTGTTTTGTTTACTGTGTGGAGATGTGCTGAAATCGCATTTGGTCTCGTACTGTATCACGTACCTTGTCAGTGTCGTGCGCTTTGCTTGGCCATTTGTTGTGATAAACAGGAAAGTGTGTCCAGCTGAATTCAATTTGAGTTTTGCTAGGCGAATATAAAAAGCTTAGTATACCACGGCAGCGGTCGCGGCAGCCCTCGTGTGAAGACTGAAGAGTGTAAAGACCATTGACTCTACCGTTCGACTCCACCGAGCAGGGCACCGGCAAGACACATAAGTATCGCTTCTGAATCATTCTCTTTCCTACTACTTGTTCCCCTTCTGTTTTCAGTTTTTATAACCAATTCTTACTATGTGTTTCCAGATCCCTACTATCACTACCACTCGCAAACCATGCATCACACACTGTAGGCAGCGCAATCCTAACAACCTGCGCACTTTGTCTATTTCTACTAATACACTACTTTCTTTTTCTATTGGTCTCTGGAATTGCCAGTCTGCTGTAAACAAAGCAGATTTTATTACCTCTATTACAAGTCATTCAAGACTAAACCTCATGGCCCTGTCAGAGACTGTTTAGACACTGTCTGCCCCTTGTCTTCCAGGCCAGCTCGTACCACCTCTTCTGCCCCTTGGCTATCTGATCTTAGAGCTGCAGAAAGAGTACGGAGCAAATCACAAAATCCTACTGACCTTAATGTATATCTATCACTCCTCTCTTCATTCTCTGCTAATGCCTCCACTGCTAAAAGGACATACTATCACAACAAAATTAACAATTTG